CCCCCTGCTTGTGTTCCCTCTCTTGCTGTGTCTCTTGCTGTCAAATAAATAAAGTCTTTTAAAAAAATCACATTGAAATTGAAATTGAATTTGACATTGAAATTTTAGTTTTGAAATTGAAATCAAAATTGGAAGGAAATTTTCTTTTTCAATTGAAATCACAGAGAAAAAAAAATTGTCATCATCAGCTAGGCTCAGGAAATGATCAGATTTTAGCAACTCAAGTCAGAAGGGAGGCAGAAGCAGGAAGGAAGTGGCTAGAAGGGCTAGCACCCAAGAAGGCATAACATGATCTACCTCTTAAACAAATAAAACAATAGCTAGCACTTAGATAGCATGTACCCTGCGTCAGGAGCCATTCTAAAAATGTCACAAAACAAGCAAGTATTAAAATACCCAGTCCTCACAACAACCCTACAACGTAAGTACTATTATTAACCCATTTTACAGATGGCAAAACTGACTCAAAGGTGGGTTAAGTAACTCACTTAAATTCATGTAGCTAATAAGTGGTGGAGTCAGGCTTTAGATCCAGGCAGTCTGGTTCCAAAGTCTATGCCTCCTGCCCCAACGTTACACAAAGAATCGCTTTTACTATGGACACCAGCTCCTGGTTGGATAAGCCCTCAAATTCTCCTCCAAAGGTTGAAACCCCACAACATATAACAGGTGCGCATTGCAGTGCAAACCTTGCAAACAGTTGAGTGCATGGTAGGTCCCAATGACAGCCAGTCCTTCCTTCTCCCATTTATTCCTTATTAGTCATTTGACCCATTAAGGAATATACAGGTAGGAACTGAATTCGTGTTCTGAAAGAATGGAAGACAGTGTTTTGAGAGTGAACCACAAATATTTATTTAACACCTACCATAAACTAATTTCACAGATTGGAGACTGACTGGGATTTAGAGAGTATTCACATTGTAGGTGGTCTGTGGTCAGAAGGTCTGCACCAGCCATGTTAGACTGCCCCTGCTCTTCTGGAGCTTCCAGTGTAGAAGGAAAGACAAATATTAATCAGTGAATCCATCAGAGAATGAATAGCCGCAGAGCGAGTGAAGTGCTCTGAAGGAAAGGAAGACAGGGCTGTATTAGTGATGCACAAGGGACGCTGAGCTGGCCCCAGGGCAGCAGGATCACCTGCCTCGAGAAAAAGGTGCTTGGCTGAGAGCTGAAGGATGAAAAGATGACACAAGAGCCATGGAGCGAAGCAGCATCACTCGCAAAGGCCAAAGGGAGTGGACCCTGGAGCTGCCGGTGTGAAAGCCCGAGGGAGCAGGGTCTGGGGGAGGTGAGGCTGCAACAGGAAACAGAGGCAAGCCAAGCAGCATCGGAGAGTATCGTGATCTTTGTGCAAAGGACATCAACAAAGCAGTGGCATGAAATGAGGAGCACCCAATACACCTGATGAGTTGACTAAACAAATAATGAAACTCCGCTCCTTTGTCCTCTTCCTCCCAACATGCAACCTCACTGGTGTTCACACCAGCCCACACAATTCGGCCAGCAGGGGTCCTCACCAGGCCACCAGATCATTGAACCTGGGGGTCAGAAGCTGAGTTAGACAGCATCTAGTGCCACCACCTGCGGGACAAGCACTACCTTGACCCCTCTGCGGCCCAGGCAGTCTCTAATCTCTGCAAAACGAGATATCTGGAACCAGCATAGGCTTAATAGCTGGGCAACCTCCAGCAAGTTAAATCATCTCTATGAGCGCCATTTCTTCAAATTCACAGAAGGCGACTGTGGTGTCAATTGATTCTGAAGATACCGTAGATAGAAATGTTTCCAGCACCATACTCAGCCTTTGGTATATGTCTAAAAGTGACAATTTAATGTGAATTCAGCCATTCGTTTGGAGCTACAGCTTTCTCCCATTTGATCCTCACAGCATGGGATGGCTAAGCCATTCTGCAGATGATGGAACAACCAACGCCCAGACTAGTGAAGTAGCCCGCCAGTTGCCAGCAAGCAGTGGAACTGGAACTCAAGCCCACTTCATTCTGCCTTGAACCGAGTGACCAGCCGAACTCTGCTCTCACATTTCGTTGGAAGAGGCGCCAAGAAGCATGTGTGCCTGTTGGAGACTCACAGACCCTGACAAGGCCTGGACAGGTAAGAGCAAATATTTTGAAAAAAGGAATGGCAAGCTGAAGGCCTGCCTTTCCCAGCAGGCAGGGGCAGTAAGGGGCAAGGATGCATGCCTGAGCTAGTCCTCACAGTAGCTGCTGGGCCCCCATGAGCTCATGCATCCCTGAAACTGGCATCTGTAAGCGTACAGGCTGCTGATTATGCCAGTCAACCCCGCAGGGGCTTACTGTGGCAGAGACGGCCCCTTGAACATTCACAGCTTCTCAGGCTATAGGACATTTCAAGGCTGGAGTAAACATGCTCGTTTCCCTAAAGCTTCTCCGTCTTTCCCTTCCTCTTGCAGTCTCCACCTCGGATTGGGGATGGTGGACAGACTGAAGTTTTGGAGATGATTTTCTGCCTGTTTGTATTCCCTGGGCCACCATGGTGGCAGAATCCTTTTGCAGTATGGGAGCCCAGGACCAACACAAGTTGTCACCACCAACCTCTGAGCTCTGTTTACCTGCGTGTCCCTAGCGAGTACATCAGAGATGTGCAATAAATAATTCCCAAAATAATAGGGAATTAATGAATGCAGCTCAAAAAAAAATATGTTAGGTTTGATTACATGGAGTTATATTTATAAGCAGTAAGACCTGACTCATAATCTTCTCAATGTGAAGCATGCTGTAATGGCCTTCTCTTCCTCTAAAATCCTGAGTGATGTAAGCACGCTGAAGAAACAGCCAAATTTCTGCTTGCTCTGAAACGTTTCTCGCTCTTGCTCTCTCTCTCTCTCACACACACACACACACATAAACACAGAGTATCCTTCAATCTTTTCATAAGTTTCAGCAAGCAACTGAGTGTTGAATAATTTAGCAAGCTGTGAGTGACTTTTCGCTTGCTGTCAAAGTAGGCAGACACATGGTCCTAGGGAGTGTGCATGGGCTTTGGTGGCATATGATGGACCCTACACTCTCTTAGTATGTCACTGGGGCAGTTACTTAACTCAGAAACTCTACCTGCAGCAGTAAAGTGGAAATGATAATAAGCATTGGGTGGCAGGGGAAAAGCATCATGATGCAGTCATAAGGGGAAAGACATGCTGAGTTCACACCCACTTCACTGCGGTGGATGCCGTAGTGTTCCACCCAGAGTCCTCCCTCCCAGGACTGAGAAACCCTTCCCTTTTTTTTTTTTTTTTAAAGATTTCATTTATTTATTTGACAGAAAGACACAGCAAGAGAGGGAACACAAGCAGGGGGAGTGGGAGAGGGAGAAGTAGGCTTCCCGCGGACCCTGGGATCATGACCTGAGCCGAAGGCAGATGTTTAATGACTGAGCCACCCAGGCGCCCCGAGAAACCCATTCCTGCAGCTACTGGGTGAGCGGGGTGCTCACAGCTGAGTTCCTCCCCAGGAACTGCCCTGCCCTGGCCTTGCCCAAAGGGACAGCCCTCTCCTGGGGATGACCTACAAGGGTTCAAAAGCATAGCCCTCTTTCTCAATTCAGGGCAGCTCTGAGGCCTCCCCATTTCCCACCCCCCACCAACAGCTCCAGAAATGCCCGGAGGAGCAGCTTCTGGTTTGCAGCAGCCGCCTTAACCCAGTCCTGCTTCTCTCCCTCTCTGGCAGGTGCCTTTACAGAGAAGCCTCCCCTGCCCATTAAGTTTCCACAGGAAAATCTCCATTTCAGAGCCCATTTCGTGGATAGTTCCTATGAATGTTACTGCTTATGGCAGACAGTTCTACAAAGGCCAAAGAGTCACATAGATAATTACACATGGTGGGGTTGGAATTCTTAGAAGAATCTCGAGATCTCAAGTCCGGGCCTCCTCTTGGCCTCTGTCCTTCTGTCCCTACACATGAAATGGGGTGAAAAAAAACAACAACAACAATACAACATACCCCTATGTTTCAGTTCATTAGTAGTCACCATATTCTGATCTTAGCGGTAATTTCTGTCAAGAGTTGGATACTTCATCATAATCAGGATTTCGTCCAGTTTTCCCACCACAGGGACAGACAGTCTAGGCCCCAGTCAGGTACACTAAACTTTCTAAGGAGTCTTCTTGAGATTCTCCTCTATTTTTTAAAAATCTTATTGAATACTAAATACAAGCTTGAGTGATCAGAATTTGGGGGAGGTAATTATACAAATGAATAATGGTCTCTGCCATCCATTCACTTATTTATACATTTTTTATCCACCCATCCCCCATCCCCCATCCATCCATCCAACCACTATGTACTGTATGCATTCTCTATGCCAGGAAACATTCTAAGCTTTCCATACACGCTCTCCACTCATCTTCCAACAATAATACGAAGCTTAGGAGGTGCTAGAACTTGTTCAAGATGACCCAGATAGGAAGAAGCAGAGGGAGAAATATAATCCAGGTGCCCCCAAAGCCCATGCTTTCCTAACGGTTGTATCATATTGCCTTCCACCCCAGAACATAGCTAAAATAAAACAGATTATGAAAAATGATAGAAAGTTCTATCAGATACAAGAAAGAAGTTACATACAAATAGGTGAGCCATAAGAGCCTTCCTGGAGAAGGCACAAGTTGGTCTTTGGAGTGACCAAGGCTCACTTCCAGAATGAAAGCTCAGCAATTTTGCTTGAGAGAGAGAGCATGGAAGGGGCCCAGACTTCAGAGTCCTTCAGAGTCCTGTCTTCATCTGCTAATAGCTGTGTGACCCTGGAAACCTTTCTTAACCTCCCTGAGCCTTCATTTTGTCAACATGAGAGACCTCACTGGCTTCTTGTAAAGCTTGAAGAAAGCATGAAACGCATCTAGCCCAATACCTGAAACCACAGTGGACATTAACAAACGATGCTTGATCTGAGCCAACTCAGATCTCTAGCTTATAGTAAGAAATGGAGAAAAGCTCATTAGTCAGTTTCTCTAGTTTATGCCTTAAAGAAGACTAAGCCAAAGGAGGACTTTGCTCTTGTCCTCGTATCTCATATCACACTCCTGGTCATGAAGACCATACATTCGCACATGCACACTGGTGAACACACACATGTGCATACACACGTGCACAGACACTCACACATGAGCCACAGGTCCAGGGGGAAGAGGTACTTACAGTGTTCTGGCACCGTAATAAACCTTCACATGAAGTACAATGTGTAGTGTTCTTAATTAAAATCGCTAAAGACCTCTTGTTGTTGGCAATATCGCCACCCAAAGCCATATTTACCTTGTTAATTATTCAAGTTACAGTGAATACGAAACAATGCCCAGGCTTCCCATAAAATTTCCAAAAATTAAACCAGGGAAATGGGCAATAAATGTCATTTGAAATGATACTGATGCCAGTTAATTGCAAGACAACTGTAAAATAATGGGGCATGAGGTGCTTCAACAATGCCTAATTAGTAACTATATGGACAGTTTCTTGGAAAAAATGGCAATTACACGGTGCAAACACTTAGCAGTCATCATCAAAGGCCCTTTACCAATATTAGCTAATTAATCTTCCCCACAATGCCCGGCAGGAGGCAGCACGCGTCCTCACCCTCACAGAGGGAGGGAGAAAAAGGATGAGAGATGCAAATGGCTACTCCTCTTCCTGCTTTGCTGGTCTAAAGTACAATTCAACACACTCCACCTAAAAACACCCAAGAGGGATCCCCAGGCAAGGGGAGAAGGATTTCTTTCTCAAGGAGTGCCCTGCCCAGGTGCTGTGCATGGTTAGTGCAGGGAATTCTTGGCTTCCTCCTGGCCGGCATGCCTCCAGGCCTGGCTGTCCCTGGGAGCCCGCACACTCAGCAGCTGTCCCCGGCACATGCATGCTCTTCAGCATATCAGCCTTTGCCCCTTTTCTCAACAAGAGGGCTTTTGATCTCAAACATCCTATAATCCAAAGAAGGGGAGTGAGAGCTCTGTCTCTTTCTGTTAAAGTCACGCTGACTTTCTTAGAACGTGGTTTGCTGCTTTTGGGTTCAGTCCAACTATAAGGTTTGGCATTATTTCTGGAGTATGGTTGATTTTGATTAGGTGAAAATATGAAAAAGGAATGAATGATATCTTGTATGCAGTAATAAATCCACATTAAAAATTTGTGAGCAACCTGGGGCGCCTGGGTGGCTCAGTCGGTTAAGCATCTGACTCTTGGTTTCAGCTCAGGTCATGATCTCAGGGTCGTGAGATCCAGCCCCGTGTCGGGCTCTGTGTTCAGTGGGGAGTCAGCTTGAGATTCTCTCTCTCCCTCTCCCTCTGCCCCTCCTCCCACCACAAACGCTCTCTCGCTCTTGCTCTCTCTCAAGTAAGTAAATAAATCTTAAAAAATTTTATGGGAAGAATGAAGCGGGGGAAATCAGAGGGGTAGATGAACCATGAGAGACGATGGACTCTGAAAAACAAACAGGGTTCTAGAGGGGAGGGAGGTGGGAGGATGGGTTAGCCTGGTGGTGGGTATTGAGGAGGGCACACTCTGCATGGAGCACTGGGTGTTATGCACAAACAATGAATCATGGAACACTTCATCTAAAATTAATGATGTAATGTATGGGGATTAACATAAGAATAAAAAAAATGTTAAAAAAATTTTATGAACAACAGTGAGAAAATGAAAAAGAAAGGGGAGAATGGAAAGTAACAGAAAGAGGGAGAAAGGAAAGGAAAAGAAGGAAGATAAGATGACAAGGAAAGGGAAGGAAATTCGGTGCTTTAACTCTTTATAGCAGCACTATGAGGTGAGTATAGTTACCATTCCCATTTTATAGATGATGAAACTGAGGTTACATGGCCTGCAAGGTCCTATAGCCAGGAAATTGGTGAACCAGTCCCTAAACCCATCTCCATTTGATCCTAAATTCTTAGTTTTTTTTCCCACAATACTGGCTTTATGATGAGTTTCTTTGCCGCCTCCCATCCTTCCTCTAAACGCTTAGTTAAGCAATGGCCAGTGGGCAAGCAGAAAGCATTCTGGAATGTTACTATCCGAACAAAGTATTTGCAGAACTGAGATCCAGTTCCAGGTCAAATCCAAGTACAATTTTCTTAGAGCAACGCATACGTTTTACAGAAGAAGATTCATTATTCACCTCTTCAGTTTCACAAAAGAGGGAAGACCACGTAACATTGGAAGGATGAGCTTTAGGATCCGATAAACCTGAAAACCCTGGATCCTGTGCCGTATCTATAAAATGAGCGCAGTAATAGTACCTACATTATGAGGCTGCAATGAGGATTATTAAGTGAGCGAATATTTCGTGTCTGGCATGTAGGAAGGCACTCAGTAACTGCTAGCTAGGTTTTGCACATATCCTGCCCTATTAATGATTGCTACTGGTCACTCCTTCATGCCCTGTAGAGTGCACTGATGAACTCTGCTGGCTTTGGAGTCACACAATCTAAATTTTGATCCTGCATCATCTAATTGCTCTCTATGTAGCCATGGGGGAGCTGTTTAGTCTCTGCGTGCCTCAGTTTCCTCATTAGTAAAAAGAGTGTGATAGTAATATCTGCTTGATCTTTTTCCTAGGGTTGTTTGTAGGGTTTGAATGAGACAATGTATATAAGGCATTAAGCCTGGCATCTGGGCAAGAATAAGAGATTGATAAATGTTAGCCACTGGTTTTCATTCCAAGTAGGCATATCTAGTCCATGTATAATTCTAGATACAAAAAAGTTAATTTGAGACTCACTCAACAAACATTTATTGCACACCTAACCAGTAATAGGCAGTGCCCTATGGGTTGGAGATTCAGACATAAATAAGCACATGGTTCCTGCTGTTAGCTGAGAGAACTGTCTTCCCATACAGACCATGGGGCGAGGATCTTTAGATAGGTGGGCAGACTGGGGAGACTCTTCTTTTTCAGAGCATCCAAGAGTATTGAATAAATAAAGTATGTTGCAGTTCATGAAGTCTCAGGAAAATACATTTTATCCAGCTTCCTTCCCAAGTAAGAGTTCATTTAATCTAAAGTGTTGCTTCAAGAAGGAACCACTGATGACTCCCTTTCTACCAAGTGACAGCCAGTCTTAAAACATTGCTACAAAACAGGATGCTTCGCAAAACAGCAGTTTCCACTGTCTGATAGCTTTGAAGTTCCTCTACCAAGTAGTTACACCAGCCCCCTTGAAATGTCCACCCTTGATCCCCCATCGCTCCTCTGGAGCTGGGCAGAGTCAGGGGAACCCTTCTCCTCTCCATGGGCCTTCCCACATGTCCACCCCACATCCGAGGCTTTGGTCTTTGTTTCTTTAAGTTGAAATTGCCGACGTGCTGTGATGGAAGTCCAACAGATATGAGCATCTGCTGGCTTAACTTGTGCTCCAATGTCAGCCTCTGCATAAAGGAACTGCTACCAAACCTGCCTTTGGGGCCTTCAAAAAAGTGACTAAGTTAGGAATTTCCATGCCCAATTCAGGGCTCCTCAAAGGATTCCCTGTCAGCTAAGACCAAAGCAGTCTGGTCTAAATCACGGTCCTCCTCCAATGGAGAATTGCTCGGTTCACGTATGAATCCCCAGGATGGCTCACCCTTTCTGTAGAGGGGGCTTGTGGGCTGGCATTGATCAATGACTGCCCTTGGTGTCCTTTCTCTCCTACCCAGAGAGCAAAAGTATAACAATGTCCTAACCACTCAGCTTTCCCTTCAAGGCCTCCCTGAGCTTGGTTCCTACTCATCTGCCCAGTCTTACTTCCCACCACATGCCCCCTACCAGCACCCCAAGCCCCAGCTGTAACCTTGTGAAAGCCACCTCACTATCATCTTTATGTTTAGATTCGTTTGGGGATCCCTTATGGCATTCAGTTATTCACTCCAAAATTTTGTAAGCTCTTATTATAAGGCAGGGTCTGCTAAGAGTAAGGCAAGTATTACCTAATCTTCCCCCAAATCATATGAGGCAGGCGTAATAGTTCACAATCTTGTTTTTACAGATGAGGAAGCTAAGCCTTGGTGCCAAGATCACGTGGGTTGCGAATGGTAGAGTCATTTCTATCTGCCTCCAGTGTCTGTGCAATCGGTCCCCGTGCTCTGCTCTTCACTGACGCTCCTGAAGTGCTGGAGACTCAGAAGCAGAAGCTTCTGAGGACGAGTTCCTGGAAGCCAAGCTCCTCGCCCGGAGCAGAGGGAGAGAAGTGTTCCTGTCAGGAGGTGATGGAGAGAGGACAGGAGGCGATGGAGAGAGGACAGGAGGCTGCAGGCAAGGCAGGCGCAAGGTGGACCAGCGCTGAACTGATGCCCCCTGGTTAGATGGCTGGCACACAGGGGAGAGATGGCTGCCGTGAGCTAGGTCTGAAGGGTTCTCTGCATGGAAGGAGTGAGCACTTTGAAATGGAAAGATAGGGCTCACTTGCATGGATATGGATGGAGCTAGAGAGTATTACGCTAAGCGAAATAAGTCAGTCAGAGAAAGGCAAATACCATATGATTTCATTCATATGTGGAATTTAAGAAATAAAACAAATGATCATAGGGGGAAAAAGAGAGAGAGGCAAACCAAGAAACAGACTCTTAACTACAGAGAACAAACTGGTGGTTACCAGAGGGGAGGTGGGTGAGGGAATGGGGGAACTAGTGAATGGAGATTAAGGAGAGCACTTGTTGTGATGAGCACCCGGTGTTGCATGTAAGGGTTGAATCACTGTATTGTACACCTGAAACTAATATTACACTGTTTGGTAACTAACTGGAATTTAAATAAAATCTAAAAAAAAGAAAGGTTGGGCGCCTGGGTGGCTCAGTTGGTTAAGCGACTGCCTTCGGCTCGGGTCATGATCCTGGAGTCCCGGGATCGAGTCCCGCATCGGGCTCCCTGCTCGGCAGGGAGTCTGCTTCTCCCTCTGACCCTCCTCCCTCTCACGCTGTCTCTCATTCTCTCTCTCACAAATAAATAAAATCTTTAAAAAAAAAATTAAAAAAAAGAAAGGTAGGGCCCTGTGTGGAGGCAGTGAAAGGAGACGGGCATGGGCCTGAATATTGAAGGGCTCTTTTTTTTTCTCAAAGATTTACTTATTTATTTGAGAGAAAGAGAGAGAGAGTGCAAGCAGGGGGAAGGGCAGAGAGAGAATCCTCAAGCAGACTCCCCAATGAGTGGGGAGCTGGACTTGGGGCTCGATCCCAGGACCCCGAGATCATAACCTGAGCCAAAACCAAGAGTCGAATACTTAACCAACTGAGCCATCCAGGCGCCCCGAAGCACTCTTTAAAAAGAAACAAGGAGGGCGCCTGGGTGGCTCAGTTGGTTAAGCCACTGCCTTCGGCTCAGGTCATGATCCTGGAGTCCCGGGATCGAGTTCCGCATCTGGCTCCCTGCTCCCTTCTCCCTCTGACCCTCCCCCTTCTCATGCTCTCTCTCTCTATCTCATTCTCTCTCTCAAATAAATAAACAAAAAATCTTAAAATAAAAAAATAAATAAAATAAAAAAATAAAAAAAATAAAAAGAAACAAGGAGGGGCCCTTGGGTGACTCAGCTGGTTAAGCACCCGACTCTTGGTTTTGGCTTAGGTGATGATCTCAGGGTCCTGGGATCGAGCCCCACATCCGACCCCATGCTGGGTGTGGAGTCTGCTTTTCTCTCTCTCCCTCACCCCTACTCCTCCCCTGCATGCTCTCTCTCTCTAAAAAAAAAAAAAAAAAATTAAATTAAATAAATAAAAAGGACTTCAAAGGCCTTCCTGCCAGAGGATCCCTCAGGCCCTTGAAGGAAAGGGTTTTAGAGGCACCTACAGGGACACCAAGGGTGTATTGCCAGCCCATCCTCCAGGTAGGCAGAGGTCATGGTGTCCGCTGCCCCCCATCCTTCATTCAAAGATAATAATGCCCCGGGGAAATCATCAGGCAGGTACACTGAGACTGGTTTGTGAAGGAGTTCTAGAGCTCCCCTCTGCCCTCCCAACCTTCTCCCAGCCAAGCCCCCATTCACTTCTATAGCAAGGAGCTCTTTGTGAAGACCAATATCAAGCACTATGCATGGTATTGGGGATTTTTTTTTAAATCTAAAAATGACAATTCCCCTGATGATGACTGCAGCCTTGTATAAAAAGCAATTTCATGAACTATTTCAATACAACACAGAAAGTGTCATCCGTGAGGCATGCCCTAAATTGGGACTGGCAGGCAGGTTTCATCTGGATCATCCACTCTGGTTCATTAGTAGTGCCTTCCTGGAATGCCTTTAAAAGGATTCTAAAGTTGAATCCAGGCTCAGCCAAGAAAGTGTGCCATCACTAATTAGTGATGTGTGCCAGGAATGTAAGGGGAGGGGAGTGAGATGCAGGAGGTACTCTGAGAGCAGACAAGGGGCAATGAACACATCCCTGGCGGTTAGGGACAACTTTCTATGGAAAGTGATATCTGAGATGACCCTGAAGGAGGACCAGCAGACAGGCAGGTGAGGTAGATAAAGGTGTTAGGGCAGGAATATAAGGGAATATTTCTCAGACATAGAATAGCTTAAGCAGAGGCATGAGGGTGTGATAAAGAGTTTGTTCAGTAGTTGAGTCTGACTCAAGTGTAAAGGGGGAGAGGTTAGGAGCAAGTGAGCTTGACGGATAGACTGGAATCAAGTTGTGTGGGACCTCTGGTACACAGGTGATTTGACATTGGAAATATGCTCATTTAACAGGGACTAGTGACATGTTCTATACACCTAGCAGTGTGGGTAATGGATTACCTGTCCACTTCACACTTGTGGCTGATTTTTAGCATCTCTCCAGTGTTTCCCTCACTTGACAGAGTGAAGCTCAATGACACAGACAGTGGGGGGATAAATATAATTAGAGACATGAGAACTAAACCTTCTTGAGGTGGATACCCAGAACTGTTGAATATTTCTAAGAAAGTTCATTAAAACCAACTGCTTACCCAGTTGAGGAATTCCTACTTCCCAAAGTAGTATTCCTGAACATCTCTGAAAAAAAGGGGGGGAGGGTTATGAAGCAACTCCTTTTATTGCTGAGTAATTCTAGTGTTCTTCTTCCACATCAGGGTAAGTTGAAATTTGCCACCTTGTCACTACCACCCCTGGTCATTGTCCTTCTCTCTGGAGCCAGATGGAATGAACACAATCTCACTTCCACAAATAGATATTTGCATATTTGAACATTTCTCATGTTTCCATTCTCATTTCTGGATCTTTGCTTCCTCAACCTAAAATTTTATAGCTCCTCAGTTGCTGTTCTTTAGGAGGATGTTCAGGTTCCTCATCATATAAATGTCTCCTCCTGGATGTACTCCAATTTTTTAGTGTTTCTCTTAGGCTACTGCACCTAAATCTGGACAATCCTAATCATTTCAGATTGCCAAGCCTTTAAGGAAAGGATAGATAATTCCACAGTCCCCAGTGAAGTTTTCAGCAGCAAAGTCTTCTATGCAGAGACCTCTGGGAATCAATCACTTAGTGGAGTCTCTGCTATTATGTGGAACTAAAACAGTGGCCCAGGAATATCTACCTATATTGATTGACCTTGAAGGGTGTTAATATCACTTTGATTCTGCACATGAGAAGGATGTTCACCCACACTTCACTCCCTTAAGAGACAACTTTCCAAATCAGCCATAAGGTTAATTCTTAAAACATGTTCATTATCAACCATCTTATGTGCCAGTCCCAATCCAGATGGCATTTGGCTTAACAATTTATTAGCTGACAGAATGGAGATCTCTAAAAATGAGACGTGTCTGGCTTCTTCTTTATATACATTTGGACTAATTTTCAGTCGCCTAATTAAACCTTTCTATGATTGACAGAAGCTTATGACAAGCAGATCTCCTGATGGAACTAAGTATTTTCAGTTTTCTCTTCAAGACAATAGACATCCAGAACATTGGAGAAAAGAGAAATTTGGTGAAAGTAAGAAATCTTATACAAGGATATGAGCATCAGGATAGCATTAGAAGAGGCCTTTGACTGGATGGAGGAAGGATTTCGGCAAATGTGTGGACAGGAATGGTCGTCTGCTCACTCTCCCAAAAATCAAACTCCCAAGACAAATACACAAATACACCCTTGGGCAATTGCACTCACTCAGGCAATCAAAACCAACCACTCCTTCCTGAGCCCCATGGCATAGCATGGAATGAGTCAGCAAACACTGACCACGGAGTCTGTAGACGTGGGTGTGAGGACTGACTCGCTTCTTCCTGGCAAGGCATG